TGCCTGGCCTCCACTCCTAGCTAGCAGTGCAGGCGGAGCAGCAACTGGAGCAACAACCATGACTAGTGAACCCTATGGAGCTTGTGAAATCTATAGAGTGATACGGGTGGCTATTGTGATATTTTCAGGTTGGAATGATACCACTTGTGATATTTTTAGGGCATAGCTATACGGGTGACTATTATAATTTTGTCAGGACGGAGTGAAATAGGTGGCTATTGTTGTTGTGATAAAAGTGTAGGCACGAGGTGCTATTTGTGTGGGTTTCTTTATGATGACTTGTTGTGGAAACCGAGTCTCTACTTGTGTTGAATTATTATCACTTATTCTGATGAGATTATTATTAATGTTTTTTGCTATACTTTTGTTGTTGGTTTTAATTTATTGCACAGGTTATTTTGACTAGTGAGTATCACATGACTTGAACCTCGTCACTACTTCACCGAGGTTAGTCTTGATACTTACTGGGTACCGAGTGTGGTACTCATGCTATACTTTTACACATTTTTATGCGGATTCAGGTGTTGGAGGTAGCGGATCTAGGCAGTGAGAGCTTCATTGACCTTGAGGATTCAAGGTGGCTACATTGACCATCGCAGTCCTTTGAAGTCATATCCTTATAATGATACTGGCATATCATTTTTCACACAGTATTGTATTTTGAGATATTCTTATATTTTTCATTAGAGCTCATGACTTTGTACTACCTAGTTCTAGAGAGATGTTGTGATTATCGTCATTTTGGCTTGTATTACCTCTATTTTCATATTTTTGCTAAACTCTGCTTTATTATATCATATTTTTATTGATTTAACTGTTGTAACTGATCGGCTTACCTAGTTTTAGAAACTAGATGACATCACGGCCCTTATAGTGGAATTTAGGTTGTGACATAAACATACTTTCCTTTTATTCTTCCCGAAGTCGCTTAGATTTTTTACTAGACGATTCACATTTCTTTTTATACAGATAAATATTCTCAAAAAATTCAGCATTATCTAATTTGATTACCGTATTAATATGAATGTCTGGATTTTCTTATTTATGAACAAGAAAATGATATGCCTTATTATTTGTTTCATATCCTATGAAAACGCAATCAACAATTTTCTGTCCATTCTTTACCCTTTTGGGTTTAGGAACTTGCACTTTAGCCAAACACTTTCATAGTTTAAAATATTTTAAGTTGGGTTTCCTTCCTTTTCACTTTTCATATGGAATGAATTGTGTTTTACTATGAGGAACTCGATTGAGTAGTCAGTTAGCTGTAAGAATAGCTTCCCCCACAATTTTTAGGTTAAACCAAATTTTATCAATAAGGCATTCATCATCTCCTTTAATATACTATTCTTTCTTTCTGCAATTCCATTAGATTGCGGTGAGTAAGGGGCAGTTCTCTAGTGAATAATGTCATGTTCCCAACATATTTTTTTAAAAGGAGATTCATATTCACCACCCCTATCACTTCTAATCATTTTGATCTTTTTATTTAGTTGTATTTCAATTTCATTTTTGTACTGCTTGAATGAATCAATTACTTCATCTTTACTATTAAGTAAGTAAATATAGCAATATCTAGTATTATCGTCAATAAAAGTTATGAAATACTTTTTTTTACCGTGAGATGGTATTGACTTCATATCGCAAATATTTGGGTGAAAGTCTAAAGGATTTAAATTCTTTTCAACTGACTTATAAGGATGTTTGACATACTTTGACACATATTTGACATTTTGAGTTACTGCATTCAAACTTAGGCAATACTTCTAAATTAATCTTTTTTACAAAGTCTTGAAGTTGTAGTGAGCTAAATGTTCATGCCATAAATTATTTGATTCAAGCAAGTAAGAAGAAGCTTAAATTTTATTCATTTCAATAGCAATTACATTTAGTTTGAAAAGGTCCTCAATAAGGTAACCTTTTCCTACATATATTTCATTCTTACTAACTATAACCTTGTAGGAAACAAAAACACACTTAAGGTCATTTTTGACTAGAAGTGATGTCGAGACTAAATTCTTCTGCATTTCAGAAACATGAAGAATATTGTTTAGAGTCATAATCTTGCCAGAAGTCATCTTCAAAGCTATCTTGCTCATTTCTTTAATTTTTGCAACAACAAAATTTACCATAAAAATTATCTCGTTGGGTCTAGCGGGAGCATAAGAAGTAAACAACTCTTTGTTAGCACAAACATGGCGAGTGGCCCAGAATCAATCCACCATTCTCTAGGATTTCCAACCAGGATGCATTCAGAAAGCATAGCATACAAGTTATCCATTTCTTCCTTATTCTCAATCATGTTTGCTTGGCATTTCTTTTTGTCCTTCTTTGGTGCACTACAGTTGACAGCCTTATGTCCAATATTTCCACAATTATGGCAATTACCTTTGAAGTTCTTTATGCTTGGGTAATTCCTTGATCCAGACAGCTTCTTTCGCTCTTTGCTCGTTGAAGCTTCCTCAATAATATTTGCTCCCATTATTGTTGAGTTTCCACGAGACTTCTTTTCTGCAGACTTATTGTCCTCCTCTTCAATCCTTAGGCGAACAATAAGGTCTTCAAACGTCATCTATTTATGCTTATGTTTCAAGTAGTTCTTAAAGTCCTTCCACAGTAGAGGCAGCTTTTCAATTAATGCCGCAACTTGAAACACTTCATTTATGACCGTACCTTCAATCATAAATTTATAATTAGTAATATAATTAATATCTTTAATTAAAATATTGATTTGACTTATACCTTTAGCAAGGAGGTCGTGAATAATGACTTGCAGTTTTTGTACTTGAGCTATGACAGACTTGCTATCAACCATTTTAAAGTCCAAGAACTTTGTGGCAACATACTTTTTAAGTCCAACATTTTCTGTCTTATATTTCTTTTCAAGAGCGTTCCACAACTCTTTCGAAATTTTCATGATACTATAAACATTGTACACGCGATCTTCCAATTAATTCAAGATATAATTTTTGCACGAGAAGTCAAAATGCTTCCATGCCCCCTGTGACCACAAACCACTCATTATCTGAAGTTTTTTCGGTGAAGAATGGAACGTCCTCATTGATAAAGCACTGCAAATTGAGTGTGGTCAGGTAGAAGAATATTTTATGCTGCCAGTGCTTGAAGTCCACGCCGAAAAGTTTTTCGGACTTTTCTGCTGGTGCCATCGCCGGTGCAGGTGTTGTGCGACTTGAAAATGCAGTAGCCATTGCAGCAATAGTAGTCACAACATAACTATTTTGTTATTCTGTATTTGTTGTCATTTTTCTGTAAAAGAAATTGACACAACCGGATTTAGTAAGTCGATAAAGTTTTTATATCTTCAAACTGTATACACACAACTAAATAGAAAATCACAAAGATTTTAATTTCGGATTGAGTAGAAAGCCACATAGACTTTAATCTCAAACTGGAGTAGAAAATTCGAATATTTTAATCTCCAAAGCCGGAGTAGAAAATTACTAGGATTTTACTCTCCCAAACCAGAAAGTAAGATGAAAACAGAAATATAAATTAAATTCCTTAAGCTTGTTAGTATACTGTGTTCAAAAAATAGAAAAAAACAGAAGACGTTAGTTTAAGAAAATAAAAACAGAAAATTTTGAGCCCACAAGCTTCTTGTATATCCTTAAAGAATTTAATCCCCTCACAGTTGCCCAAGGTTTCGGATTAATTCTTCTTAGAATAGAATAAAATAACTATTATGTGATAGCGACACTACAAATCATAGAACTTCGGCAAACTCAAATGGCGAAGCAAATCACACTAGATGCTTATGTTTTACTTCGAAAAAATAATGCAGAAATACATAAGAGAGAGGGGAGAGTTTGTAGATTTTCGGTGGTGGAAAATAAGAGTAATCCTCTCTATTTATAACCAACGAACTTGAGTTCCAACAAGTGCAAAGATACATGTTCGTTTGATAAGGTGTCTATTTGGTAGAAATTATTTAAGTTTCTGTTAAATGGATTGTTTGGCCGGGAATTTGACCGTTGGAAAAATAATGTTGCAGATCCAAAAAAAAGTGGTCCAAAATAATTATCAATCAATTATATTAATTGACCAAATCCGAATCTGAGCGACGACGACGATAACAACCGTGCGATGGTTGATTTCTTCTTAACTCTTTAAAAGTTAGAAGAAGTACTTTTTATATATAAGCACAAGAATTTTAAGGGACAAAGTTCCTGTATAAAAGGAACCAATTCAAAATTTTATTTTCCTCCATTATTCATTCACACCTCTTTTATTTAATAAATAAAATCCAACAAAACTTTTATCCGTTCTGTCTAGACCCAGTTCCCTCTAATGATGCATAACTATTTATATAAATATTAATATTAAGTCTTCGTTAACCAAAAAAATCAACAAAAATAGATTAGTTAGATTGAAAAACATTCCCCATTATAATGTTATAATCTTTCCCCTTTTGCTATTTGCCATTTAAGATTTCGAGAAACCTATTAAAAAGTAATTTAATAACATTAATAGTAAAAAAAAACTACTCCATGCATTTTAGTTTATGTTATATTAATATTTTTTTATTAGTCTGTTAAAATAATGCCATTTATAAATTCAAAAACAATTAGATTTAATTTTTTATTTTATCACTAATGAAAAAAATTTAGTAGCCACACAAATATTATGACTTATTTAAATTAATAATTTCAAAAGTATTTCTCACTTAAATTAATGTCTTTTTTTAAAAAAAATTATGTAAAGTAAATTAATTTAAACCAAATTCTTCTAACAAACAAAAAGCTGCGGAGGGAGTAATGTTATTTTTACTCATTCCTCCCCTCTTTTGACGCCATTATTTCCGTAGCAAATGATCTACACCTGCTCAGCTCCACTATCCTCTTTAAGCCGTAGATTTAACCTCCAACACAAATTGACGCTTCTTATATTTCCACGTCATCAATCCTCGTCTCTCTTCGTTCTCCAATCAAAACAAACCTCAATTACTTATAAATACAAAAACCACACCCATTCTTCTCCAACAAACTTCTCATCTTTCTCAAATCTTCGGTAAATTTCTACACTATACCATGGCTCCGAAAGCAGAGAAGAATCCGGCACCGGAAAAATCTGAAGTTCCGGCGGAGAAGAAGCCAAAAGCTGGTAAAAAGCTCCCTAAAGACGTCGGTCCCGTCGCTGGAGAAAAGAAGAAGAAGAAGGTGAAGAAGAGTTCGGAGACGTACAAGATCTATATATTCAAAGTGCTAAAACAAGTGCATCCCGATATAGGAATTTCGAGCAAAGCGATGGGAATAATGAACAGTTTTATTAACGATATATTTGAGAAACTTGCTCAAGAAGCTTCTAAATTAGCGCGGTATAATAAGAAGCCTACAATTACGTCGAGGGAAATTCAGACGGCGGTTAGATTGGTATTGCCTGGTGAATTGGCGAAGCATGCTGTTTCTGAAGGGACTAAAGCTGTTACCAAGTTTACTAGCTCTTGAATTTTTAAAGGACTGATTAGGTTATATTGGGATTGGGAATTGGGGTTAGGGTTTCGTCCAATGGTTGATTTCATGTATGTTGGCATTTTGATGGGAATAATGTAAAGTACAACGCTGTTCCTTATCAATGAAATCTACTTTTTATGTATTCTTATTGGTTGTGTTTATTATTCACGAATGCAATGACATGTTTGCGGTATTGGTTACTGTTTCCGTAGGCGAATGGTTATCCTTTTTTGGCTGTCCATGTTGTTATATGATTTGTTTGAGCAAGATTTCTTGACTGCAACATGATCATCTCTTTAATTTGCTTGAAAATCTGTGGTAATAAACGGGTGCTCTGTGTTACTTGCATTATAATTTTTATAGCTATGGAAAGACTTTTATTTTAGTTAAGGCTGAGGTTAAATACATCTTGAATAACAGAATGAAAGAATAGGCTGAACGAAAGGTCAAGTTCTTGTACCGCAGGCACTTTGTTTCAGTGAAAAGTGACATTATTCTTGTTACCAAAGGAAAAGAAAGGAGCGCAATTGGTTTTCAAGGTAAGCTCTTGTTATTCTGATTTCTCTTTTAACGAAGTTCAGTCCTCTCTTTCTATATTTTGTAATGGTGCCTAGGATTGAGGAGCGCAATTGATTGATAGAATTAATTAGAGCACGCGGATGAAACTACATAGAAACTTAACCAGTTCATCTCAATGTTGATCAACTTTATTTTCTTGTTTTCTTCTGGAATGTATCTCCGACAGTTGCAGATCACTTATGAGATCTGGATGAGGAAAAATGAAATGTCAAGGAAATTAGATTAGAACTGATTTATTAATTTGTTGTATGTGTCTGTTCAATTTGACATCTGCAGTGCATGTTTATATATGCTTTTTGATTGTGTATTTTCTGAAATAAGAATATGCAATCCTGTGAATGATTTTCAATAGATTTGTAGTAAAGAAGTGCTGAGTTACTTAAAGCTGCTTCTGTATTTGCCATATTTCCTGAAAACTTGTGCAATTCTTTTCAACAGAATGATAGTGAATACTAAACTTGTTCTTCTGTCATTTTCTATTCTACTTATGTGTCCCAGCAGTGTTCCTTCTGAAAGCTTAAACTTGAACACTCTTGTAAACATCTGATCTCTCATCTCTGATACGGGAGATGGGTGTAGTTCTGTTTCTGTCTTTGACTGAAAGTATTTAGCATGTGATTTCTAATAATGTTTGATTTTTGGCCAGTTGGAAATGCAATTATGGATGCAGCATCGAACATTTGAATGGGCATTTATATCATAATGGAAATTGGGTAGCCCGGTGCATAAAGTATCTTACGTTCACGGATCCGAGAAACGGCCGCACCTCAAAAGTGTGATGTAGACAGTCGACCCTAATGTAGCATTAGTGGCTACTTCCATAGCTCGAACCTTGGCTGTTACTAAATTCTGAATACCTGGCATTTATGCTCATATATTTCTTATTTCACAACCTCAAGGTCTTCCTTTGATTTGTTGAAGGGAATTGTGCATTCTTCTCCTTTGAGAATTTTTAAATCTGTTGTTGAGTTCTTTTATCAGTGGTGTTGTGTCATTTTTAGGCTGGAAGAAAATGATTTTGCCTCTTAATCTTTTTAGAAAGACAAGTAGAGAACTTAATCCGCTGGTACAGAAAATGTAGAGAACTTTAAATGAGTGGATAAATTATTTGTTTTAATACTGGACTAAGGCCGGCTTAAATGGAATGCCTATAGTCGAATTCAACTTATTTGGAATTAAGGCACAATAATTATAATCTTAGATAAGATAGATATTATCAGTTTTCTTGCTCGGGCATAAGTAAAAAATAAAAGCACCTGGACATCACTGTAATAAAAAATAAAATAATAAAGTATGAGACATCTGGGAATTTAAAAGTTATTTGACTGTATCGGTTTAACCTAATTTTCTTACTGATGTTTATTTGTATCTTTAGTCAAATCAGCAACAATTAATTAGTTGAAAGCTTATGGAAGTATTTAATAAGTGATTAACTTAGTTCTTTTAGGACATTGGATGAAATTGGAATAAGAGACTGAAGATTAATCAGCAATTAATTTTGCTTCTTGCCCACCAGTTTTATATTTGAAATTAAGGTTTTGCATAGTGGGAATTCCGTGTATAGTGATGGGCGATTTTCAGAGGATGAAAAATGAATAAACCTACATTATTTATAAAACCTCAGAAATAAAAACAAAATAGGGTCCTTAGCTCAGTGGTAGAGCATTTGACTGCAGATCAAGAGGTCACCGGTTCGAACCCGGTAGGGCCCTTTCAAAATTTGTTTTTTAAAAATTAACGTTAACATACACATTTTCTCACTTATGCAACCGGTACTGCTCTCTATTCAAATCAAACCCTTTAGTTAGTCATTTCTAGTTCAAAACCGTAGAAGTTTTGAAATCATTTACGTAGTCACCTATTTGTTTTTCATTTGGCAAGAAATGTTTTAGTTTTATATATAATTAGGGCTCGACTTATGAACATCAAAAGGTAAATTTGCACACTACCCACTTTGTTCCAGCAATTTAAAGTTTGCAACTGGCACTTAACAACATCATACTTCATTTCTATTCGAATTTGTAATTCATAAGAATCCGTTTTTATTCATTCAAACATAACATTTTTCACGAATGATAATGCCTTAAATTATTTTTTCATAAGCATTGTCATTTTTTGTGTTGGTTCAAAACTTCAAACTACTTAACTTGTACAAATTGCTACCACCTTAAACCATTTGAAGGTTGAATGTATCCATTTGTTGTGTTCCTCTTCAATTTAAAAAGGATTTCTGTTGAGGACCCTCTATTTTTTTAAACCCTATTTGGGCAAATTCTTACTGATTTCCTATAATTCGCTCGTTACAACTTTAGTTTCCAGACAGAAATGGGTTTTAGGAAAACAGCAAAATAGAGAAAAATTGGCGTCGCCCGGACTCGAACCGGAGACCTTCAGTGTGTTAGACTGACGTGATAACCAACTACACCACGACACCTTGATGTTTAGATCGTTCATTGTGTTTAATTTCTTGAATGTATTAGTTTTCATTTTTAAACCAAAAAACCACATAATCTTTTGAAAATCACTAGTTATATGTGAAGAAAATTTTCACGATCATTTTAACTGTGTTTTCTTCCTCTAAAACCAAAAAGGAAAAACAAATTACTCCTTATGCTTTCTCGTACAATACTCTTCAAGACAATTGACTTTTTAGGAGTTATAAGACAATATATTGCTAAGACTAACATACTGTAAAATGGTCAGAATATATCTTAAATATCAATATGATAAGAGATTGAGAAAATAAAAGAGGAAAAGAGTGAGTTATATTGAAGAAAATGTATATATATATATATAGGTATACAGACAGTACCAACCAAACAAAACGCTCAGCTAGATACAACAACAATTAATAAACTATACAAAGGGATCGCTGATCCTTAACATGCAAAACTTTAGCAACAAACGGGCCTGGCTCACCAACCCATCAATGTTCTTCTTACCTTGTCTACAATCCGATTTCTACCAACCATAGTTGACATGTCAGTATTACAGTTGTCGTCTAACAGGAATCTGCAAACCTCCCAATCACGATCTGTTGTACAATGCCTTCCGATCTCCGCCTACAAAATAACAGATAAATTAGCATGAGGCCTAGACTGAATGTAGGTTGTTTAAAGATTTCATGCCTCTAGGTTCAGTGTTCTTAGAATGTTTGTAACCTTTTTCAAGCTTACTAGGAGTATAAAGACAATCCATTGTCTTCAAATCTTCACATACAATCAGTAAAGTTAAAATGTGCTAACTTTTTCTTTCAAACACTTCCTTTACCAGCATATACTTACCGAGAAGATGCAGATCCCAAGGTTCTTTAATGCCAGTGTGACATCATAGGAAACACGTGGTCTACCGTTTCCAGATAGCTCAATAGGATTTGCAACCAAAAGTTCAGTATCTGGTCCACGATTTGTTATTATAACGCGTAAAGGGTGAAGCATTTCCACTTTCAAGCGAGAACAAATTGCATCTTGTTTCTCTGGATCTACAATCTTTCTTCCATCCTTCTGCCGGATAAAAAGGTCTAATTCTCGTTGTCCCTTATTGACTGGTGAAAACCGACCAAAAGAAATCTACATGGAAAAGAAATCAAACTTGAAATCAGCATAGTTTTCCTTTTGATCAGAGAAAGTAAAATCAACTATAAGCATTCTTCATTTCATGTTTTCTCTTTGTGCCATCCATTACACAATTACATGTAAAACTCTAAACTGGGGGCGAAATAATGATCTTTAAACTCTAAACTCTAAAGGGGAATAAAGCATTACCTCCCAATGAGTTTACCCTTATATGCACTTAGCAAAAACAAAAATTTACATTGCATTACTTTAATGTCTATGAGATCAAAGTAGCCTCATTATCTGGAACAAAAAGATCCTTATTTTTTTTATTTCTTTTATTTTGTGATATAAGCACATTTGACGCATCTGGATTTGTAAATAGTAGGGGGAATCGCCTTCCGAGTTGTTAGAGCTCCTAGTACTGGGTAAAGAAGACAATAAAACCTCAGCAAAGCACATTCCTCAGATAAAATCCAGAATATGTTTGAACTTGCAATGAAGAAACCATAATCGTGTCAATCATCTACATTATGATGCAATAAGTTTAAGGACTTCAAACTCATTACCAGTAAGAACCAAACTCAAGTACACCTAGCCACAAATTAGATAATTTGCAACTAAATCAACAAAAATAATGAGGAATCAATAAGTAGAAAACTGAAATCTAAAAGCCAGTACCTGAATACTGAAGTCTTTCAATGTCCGCATAATGTCATAAAGAAAACCCTTGTGATCAATGCAACTAATCTGAAGCAACGTATGACCAGGGCTCAGGGAATTATCTATTGTCACACTAGCCTTCTTCAACTTCGTCATTTCTGAACTAAGAGCTTGTGCATGAAATTCGTTATCTTCAATTTTGCACCTAAATAATTCCTCAGCAACAGATGGAGGAAGAGAAGAGATATACTGAAGGTTGTCATACTTAGGGCCAGCTAACTGAAGTTCAAAACCACATGATTCGCCCAAAACAGCACGCAACTGCTCATATGTTTCATCTTGCCTAGCTTTTGTATGTAAGAGCTCTCTGAACATGAAATGAGATATGTTAAGATTAACTTCTTTTCGAACGTCTTAAGAATAACGAAAGAAAAACAGTATTATGGAATAGAATAAGATCCTTAATATATGAATTACTAAAGCAAAAGTCCCCTGCACATTCTAATTCAGATTTACACAAACCCAACTATACTAGAAATATTTGCCTGATATCACAAGATATGGTCTTCCATCAGTCATCCCAGGAAATAATTGGTAATAGTTACAGGAAATACATTATCCGTTGTACATTTGAAGGTAATAAAATGCAGGGAAGGAGAATTAAAAACATCGTCCACCAAACATATGTTTTTGTTACTCCAAAATCAAAATATGAATGAAGTAAAAGCTCTTTTAAAAGAGAAATCTTGTGATCCGGTAAACATGATTATACGTTTGAAAGGAAATACAATGCAGAAGGGGAGCAATTGATAACATTGTCCGCAAAGGAGTAACTGAAAAATCTTTCACCGTCCGCGAAGGGCTATTTTGTTGCTCCAGAATGAGAATATGAATGAAGAAAATAAGCTGTTCCCAAATAGAAAAACTTGTTATCCATTCTTCTGAGAGAAGAAATATAAAAACAATTGTTGGAATTATTAGATGGATAAGAATAAAGGTACAGAATTATTGCACCAAATATAAATGTCTGCATTGTTCTTTATCAGATTAGAAATATTAAGCTAAAGTCAAGAAACGTTGTGTATTAGTCAAGATGACCATTCAAATAAGGCACAGCCATAAAAGATAAGAAGAAATCAAATAGAATATTCAGATTGCTCCTTACAGGCTACAGCCATCATTTTAGTACTTAACTTAGTGTTGGAATTTCACGTTTAACTCACTTTTGTTCCCCATGAAGGAGCTTTCGATTTATTACAACCCTATAACTCAATATTCTAAAAGCAATGCAGAAGCTATATACTTACAAGTTGTCTGTTATAAAGAAAAGGTCTACAGCATGGCCATCCGGAGTTCTTGTCACTTTTACCCTTTGGATGGTAAGCTCGAGCTCAGAGAGAACTTCATTAACATCTAGAAACATCATGCAATTGCGTTAGAAGAGAGCATTAAATTAATAATCATAATCTGCGTACGAAGATTTGTCACTACCATGTAATAATCCTCTTCGGTCTGAGCTACAAAATGTCAATAAGTAAACAGAAGAAGAAATAGCGTGTGGTGATGGTTGGTTCAAATAAAATGAAACAGAGTATGATGGGCAAACTGATACAAGACGCTCTTTCAAATTCTTCCATCTTACTTTAGATGAGGAAGACTGAGGAACCACCCATAACACCACATAGCACCATAGCCCATCCGTTGAAACATCTGATTCACAGAAACACGGGGCACTTAGTTAAAGATGTACCAATGGAGAAAGAGAGATATATTTTATTTGTAGGGAGAAGGAGCGATAGGCAGGTGATTGAATTGGCAACAATTAGCCGATCGCAATAGCTCTTATAGAGAATAGGAAAACTAAATCTGTGACCATGATAAAGTCGGCCAGCTAAAATTGCACAATTCAGCAGATGTGTGTGTGTGTGTGTGTGTTTAACACATGAGAAGATAAATAAATTCGCGATAGAACTGTATAATGCTTGTACAAATGATACCAATTGAAATGTTGGACATTAAGCGTTTGGCTGAAAAATGTTTTCGCTGAAGAAATCATACCACAGTGTTTGGTTATCTTAATGTGTTGAAGTTGTTTTCTCCCAGTAAATTTTTTTTCAAAAAAATCGAAAAACTAACTTCCATCAATTATGAACCGGAATCATTTTCTTTTACAAATATCACGACTCTTACTCCATAGCACTGGCCTCAACCACTACTTCACATTGTTGTAAACTTTTAATAATAAATAGTATCACTAAAACACTATCCTCATTTTCCATTATCCTTCTCGTACAATTATCATGCATCATTTAAGTTTCTTTCAAGTAAACACTACGAAAAATGATCCCGAATACATTTTTCCCAACATAAATAATTACATAGAAAATATATTTTTTTTGGGAAACATTTTCCTCCGCACAAAACGAGACCTTTTGCAAGATTTTTTTCGATATTTGATAGAAATGGATAAGAAATTAATAAGAGTACCTCCTTTGATTATGTGGAGACCGAAATCAAGAATTGTACGACAGATATCACAACCGAGGCCGGTTTTATCAGGACAATTCACCGTAATTACATTAGGCTCCTCGCCTCTCTTCCCTTTCTGAATAATTACGGTGTCGCTATTGTCGTCGTCCGGAACACCCATACCGGAATCCGATGATCAAAACACAAAAACTACGGACAATTGAACATAAAACCTATATAAGAAATATAGCCGATTGGTCACCTCAGGTTGCTCAATTGCAAAGTTGGTTCGATATTCCTATCGGATAAAATTCCAGAACGTTCGTTGAAGCTCGTGTACACAATTTTGTGGAGAAGCAGGTCGTTGGTGTTTCCACTGAAATCTAGAGAGAGAGGGGAATTATTGATTGGGACGAAATTTAATTTTAAAAAAATAAGATTTCAAGGAAATTTAATAAAAAAAAATTATTTAAGATGTTGGACTGGAACAATATTTAATACTTATTGTTTTAAAAGTTTATGGTCTAAAATAAATTTTGTTTACTTTTATTTATTCACTATGCTAAAAATAAATTTTTATTTTTACTTATCAATTTTAGCAAATCAAGATAAAGATAATTTTTCATGTTTTATCTTTTACATTAATTACTCATTTCTTAATAACCACGCTTGGAACACTGTGTCATTTATTGAGATAATTTTATTATTATTAGGGGTTATATGGTAAAATACACATTACAATTTTTATTTCTTAAGGGACGTGTAAAGTAAAGCGAGAGAATAAATCAAGAAATGCAAAGTTTATAATTAAATATGAAAGTGTGATTTTTTTTTAGAAACTAATAGAAAGTGTGGCCACATAAAATAGTACGAAATAATATTATCATGTCAATTCATATAACAACATGTCAATAAGGACAATAATAAGGATGCAAGGATCAAATAGATTTTAAATATAAGAATGGTGTTAGAAAGAAAAGAAAAGCCCTGTTCCAAGATTCACAAATTTTAAGAATACAAGCTTGTTAACTTTTACATATATAGTGTTCTACTCCCTCTGTCCACTACATTCGTCCATTTTTACTTGACACATTTTAACTTTTCACACCCCTTAGAAAAATAATAAATAAAATACATACTTTATCATGATACTCATATTAATTGATGCATATTTTATTGAATTTAAAAAAATAATTTGAAATGAGTAATAAATATTGTGGGTATAACATAAAAAAAAGTGTCTTCTCTTGATATGCATAAAGTGACAAGTAAAAATAAAAATCTATTTTTAGTATATATGTCAAATAAAAGTAACGAACGGAGTATATTTTAACTAACTTTTCAGCTAATATTTGTGAGCACCTAATTTTTTATCATGCTTAAATTTTCTGTACTCATCTCACCAATATCTCACTTCTCACTCCATCATTCTCGCTCTCATCTTCCCACGCATATCTCCACTCCACTTTCCTTTACTCACTTTCCTTTGCTCCCACTCTTTGTCCCCCCCCCCCCCCCCAAACTCTTTATACTCCACTTTACAAAATCATACCACTCTCCCTGCCCATTAAAACACCACTCTCCATGCCCATTAAAACAACCCCTCTTTTCTTCTTCGGGCGAAAAACGGAATAGACTCCATCTCCCCCAAAAAGAAACCGAGTCGCCCCCTCTTCTCCTTCACTCTCTCTCATCTCTCTCATCTACATGAACTCACACACTGATCTTTACTCTCACACAGATTCATGCTGAATTTTCACTCTCGATTCACACACAGATCTCACACGAAGGAGCAACTGAAAATACTCCAAATACCCCCAAAAATATCAAATTTAGATCTGTAGTTCTACAGTTTGAAAAATAGAGGAAAAAGTAAAAGAAAAAGGGATTTCAAAGAGCTGTTGCGTTTTCTTTTGATTTTCTTGATAATTTCTGGGATTCTAAGAGTGGTTATCTCTCAAAAACATTGTTGATTGCTGTTGGAATCTGCTGTTGATTGTTAAATCTGTAGCTGAACTCTAATTTGTGAAATTAAGCCTTTATTTGGCTACCCTTCCTTCTAAATTCAATTCCTTCGCAATTAGGTATGTATTCCTTTAAACTGTGTTCAGATTTGCTATGACATGTAATTGTGTTTATTCTCTGGCTCATTTGCTGTTCTTACTCGAAGCTATGGTCGCTTTCGACCTCATTTGCTATTGCTAGTAGAACCTATCTGTTTTGATTTAGCTTTCGCTGCCTGTAAACTCAACTAGAATAAGATTACTGATTGAGTTTGATTTCCTGAACGTAAGCCACTTTATTGTATTAGCTTGATTCCTATTTTTTTAGTACTGTCACGTGCTGAAATGAAACTTGTATAATCAGTTGGGTTGAAAAATCAGTGGCTCGATAGTTGTTGATTAGCGGAGTAATCATGTATTGATACCAGGAAGAGTTCATGTTTAAGAGTTGGCATCCATAGGAATCAGCAAAGGCGGAATCGAGATGCATAACTTTTGGAATTGTTTGTTACTGAAAATGGATGACATTATATTGTTTAGATAGGGATATCTTTGTAACAGGGTGTAGGCATAAAAGTATGAGTCAGTTGATTATTAATTTTGTAAGTTAAATAGAATGGATTCTGATTTGGTCTTTCATGATTATGTATGCATTTTATCCATGAATGAGTTAATTTCATATTTCCTTATGGATTAGAGTTATAGCAGTAGTTTAAGACTTTGGGCATTATTTTAAGCCCATCTACGCTTATGTCTTGATCTGTTGGAAGTTTGAGCGTAGAGGCATGCAGGGATTGGACCCTTAATAAATTATTCCATCATTGTACACTTTATCCACTACAACTTTCGTAATCCATGGCCTTACAATAATCTTAAATTAGCGCGTTTTAAATTTATTATCGTGATTACACGTTCGCGTGACATAATTATGATTTTCAAAATAAATCAGGGTATGCGTTCGCGCGACCTTGACCAAACAATCTTGATAAAAATAAAGTGTTATTAATTGTGTACGCGTACGTGTGACATGGTTTTGGCACAATAAATAAAACGGATCCACACACGTGATTCGTTTAAAAGATAATTTCATATTTTAATAATTAAAAACGGATAGATAAAACATGAAAACCAATAAATCACAGTTTATCCAAAATTAATTCAAGCCAAGTTGTAGTTAATAAAGCGACCGTGCTAGAACCACGGGACTCGGAGAATGCGTTATTCGGACTTTATTTTTACAGACCAATAATAAAAGAGTCAAATCCTACTTTGACTAAGGATTCAAATAAAAAGTGACTTGGAATACCAAAAATCAATTCCAAGTGGCGACTCTGTAAAATAAAATAATCCCTACTCAAATTTATCACTTTAATTGGAAAAACTCTTTAACCCACCACAATTCATAAATAAATCTTTTGTGGGGGTAAAAAGGGTGTGACAATATTAATAAAAACAATTCACTATTGCAATATGTATCGATAAAATTCGATCTTTATCGTGCGGCATGACGAAATGATGATACGTAGTGAAAGTTGTTCGGGACTATGATATGAGTACGGGAGACAAAAGCATGGGTATCAGCAGAATCGTGATTGGGGCCGTCCATTCGAATTTTAAACAAAGACAACCAGAAGAGCATGCACTCGGAGCAGACTAAATGCTTTTGGTGGCGAACTACATTGAACCCGCAACTTTCTAGAGATCTTGGTCTCGTCTGTTACGCGATTGCAATTACCACTGATGAGGAACATGCCACGGAGCCACCTTATAGGAAGGGTGTCAAATGATATTTCTTCGCTGAAAAAATATATTATGTAATTAGATAAAAAAATAAATTATATGTAAATATACTATTTATTGACTTCTCTTAATTTTCTAGTATGTTTACTTTTATATATGTTGACACCCCTTAACGAAAATTCTGGCTCCGCCACTGCTTGTCAGGCCACTAATCATATATTCAGCGTATAGGCTAGGAACTCGGAACAACCACATTCCGTCTAGGCTATGAATACCTTACTTTAATTTACTTATAAATCATCGTCTGATTACATATAACATTTTGAGATGATTCATCATGTACTCTTCATATTCTTTTGCAAGACTATCTTTCTCTTTGTATCTTTCAAGAATTGAAATTTATTTCAACATAGTCACATCATAGGCCGACGATCAATAAGATCTCCGTTATCTTAATCTCATCTTCATTTCAGTATACATACTTTGCATTAATCAATTTGCTATTGGCCTTAAAATATACATTTAATTGTTTACTTTAAAATTAATTTTTGGGTTAAACACAACAAAATTACATTTTAAATTCATTTTGTACTAACTCAACTTATTAAACGCTTTAAAAAGATTTTTTTTTTTTAAAAAGCATGGTATGTCTTCTTACCAAGCTTCAAGGTCCGGTAAGTAGGGGTGTCAATGGTTCGGTTTGACCGGTTATTTTATAAAATTTGTACTGTACTAATTTTTCGGTTATTCTATTATGTATAACCAAAATTAGATTTTTCCAAACCGTCCCAATCATGTCAATTTTTTTTCGGTATCGGTATCGGTACAGTTCGATTAATTTTCAATATTTTTTTAAATATCATGTAAAATTCACCAGTATAAGTAGAATACAATAACATATATTCTTTTATAGGACTTAACAAAATTCTCTAGACATTTTTTACTATTTAAAGGGTGATGAATTAAAAAAAATAAAAGATAGCTAGAGTATAGATCCATCAACTATTCTACAACAACGTAAAAGAAACCAAGCAAATGCAAAGAAAATATAAATCACTCGAGTTGAAAGATATTAATCAAATTGAGACTAAGAATAAAGTCTATAAACCCTCAGGGGTTGGCCCGGTGGCAATTGACTTGAGCCTTGGGGTTTGCTCCCTTTCAAGGACTCAAGTTCGAAACTCACTGGGTGCAAACAATTTCTGAGGGCCATCGGACTGGGTAAAACCTGAATTAACCGTGGTGCACTTGCGAAAAACTCCTTGCCGAGGGCCTGTATACCCCCGGGATTAGTCGGGTCTCAAAGAGACTTGACACCCGGTGCAAATCAAAAAAAAATAAAGTCTATAGAAGATTAAATATTCAAAAAGATAAATCTAAATTATATGAAAGGAAACATGTTCAATACATTATAGTTTGCTACTCATAATCGTTAGAATACATTGTATCTTGCTAATGAAGATACTTTAAATAACTTAGTTTAAGTAGAAGTAGCATAATAGATTTTAGAAATTAGTATTTTGAGTTTAATTGCTTGTTAGCTTGTAACAGTTTTCATAATTCCAAGAGCCAAAGAAATATTTAATGCATTATTTTTAAACTTACTATATAAATTTATTTTTCACATGTAAAATTTATTCGGTACAATTCGGTATTTTTTCGGTTTATTTTTATAAAATAAAAAACCTACACTAATTATCGGTGATGTTATAAATTTATATAAAAACCTACAATTTCTTTAAAAGAAACCTAAAAATTAGTTCGGTGCGGTACGATTCGGTCGGTTTAATTGGCACCCTACTGGTAAGTAGAAAAAGCTAATAGTAACTTTTCATCTGTTGATAACGTTAGCCTATGAGGCAAAGTGCAGAATTGGACGTTTCTCAAATTGAAAATAAGAACTTATTGAGTTATCACCAATATAAAGCCAGTAATGTCTTTGTTTATGATCCCTTTTTGGAAATTACTTTGAGTTCTCTACGTGATAAAAATTTAGTATAACGATGCTTGTGGAGTTCTTTACTTCATTTATTTAATTTTTTTTTTTTTTTTTGCACATT